TCATCCAATGCGCTCTTCAATGGAAATCACAAGTATGAGGTTTGACCTGAGCGCGACTTGCACTGATTACCGCCGGTGACTCTTTCGATACCTTCCAATCACATGAAAATTACCTAATTAAAGCTTGGAAACGTGTCAGTTCGTACTCGTTGATCTGCGCGAGAGTCAAAGTCACCATCTTTGTTTATATGAGACCCATATATCTCGCACATGCGCAGCGCGACGACTACCGCGCTTTAAGCTTACGCCAGTTCTAAATTATATTGAAAAACAAGATGATGCAATAACTTTTCAACCAATGCCGCTGAGGGCAGCATACAACATCTGGATCAGCAAAGAAATAAAGTACGAATAGGAATCTGGACGACAGATTGAGCGGATTAGGTAAATAGATAGTTTAGATACACCATAGATCGACTATGATAACGATACAAGATACATACAATCTCAGACTAGTATTACTAGTCTGAGATACAATACAATGCGCTTTACAAATTGATTTCGGAAATATTGAATTGGTGTTAAATCTGTTGAATCATGACGTCAGTGATACACTCGTGTAGATTTCCCTAATGTTGATTAATAAGAAACGCTGTCGACTTCGCTTAGGAGATACAGGTGCTGCGTAAAATTGAAGGGGACACCCGGCTGTTTTTCTAGTAGCAGTATTATCATTATATTTGACGTTTTATTGTAATGTTTTTTATACACGTACATTATGTAGATTTTTTTCTTCATGCCAACTAAAATAAATGCCAATTATTATATTTTTATACAGACAATTAGGACACGTATACTAGTCAAATAACGTATGTATTTGGTAGACAAATTAAAGTACAATACCCAATGTTATGTCGGAGGCAACGCTCCAATAGTGTTGGCCCGTGTGATTTACAGCACAGCTAGTAAAGGTGAGCTCTGATTTAGGTTAAATAAAGAATATAAATCCACGTGCGTGTGAGTGATTGCACGCTAAAAATAAAATTGAAGAGACTGGAAACATTATAAGAGATTTCGTTTAATGTCATGGTTAAATAACGCACATTGTGGTACCCCATTATTGTTCCGTCATTGATTTATACACCGTCTCTCTGAGGGACTGTG